TTAATGCTGTCTTTGGCTTTCAACGCCTGTTAAATATGTTTCCGATGGGATTGAGTGGTCCATGCCGCGATGTTTCTTCGCGAAATTCAATTTGAAAACACTAAAAATTTGCTGTGTTTCGAGATCGCACGAAGGACGTGTACCAACCATGCATTCAACAATGCCATCAGGCGATAATTATTTGGGTTGGTATTGGGTAGTTAGAATATGTCATAAAATGTCCGGGTAGATATGGGACTAATACGCAGCAGACCTTAAGTAAATTCAGTCGATTTGCTTTGCCAACCAGGTGATTAATTAAACTCGTTTCGGGTGCAAACGTGTTTCAGTGCATAGTAAGGGGCGGCATATCCAAATTTGGGATGGGGAGGGGCAAAGACTTAAAGAAGGTCCCCCGAACCGATGAGCCCCTTTGTTTCGGTGAGGCTATTTATGCAGTCATAAATGTGTGTTCTTATGAATGTTCTCAAGCCTAAGACCAAAAACTGATCCTTTCTGGACTTGGCCTGTGAATTTCTGGGTATGAAAAACGACACTTCCCAACCCTAATGTGGGCCATTTCTCAGTTTAGCCAGACGAGGGTTCATCCCGGGCCTGATAGATGAGAAGTGCCTCTTTGGCACATGAGATGCTTACTTTTTTAACCCGAAATGGACGTTCCCCTGATGAAGGTAAGCCCTTTTAAATCTAATACGGCTTTTTCCATACCTGAGGGGGCCCTTTCTGGGCTTACCATGGATCCCTTTTCTTATAAAAAACGGGCCCTTTCTGGGTCTACGATTGGTCTTTCCTGATCGGAGATGGGTCATTTCCAGGACTAAACTCAATGGGCGTTTTGAAATGGGCTCTCTTCAGACCTGGAACGGGCCCATCCTAAGTTGAAGGCAGGGCGCAGGCCGAGGGGGGGGGGGGGGGAGAGGACCCCGGGAGCACACATGTCTCTCCTTTGGTCCACACGGGCCCTTAGGGCTCCTCAGGACCGACGATCAAGAACCCGACAAGGGGGCCCGAAGAGTTGCCCAGAGGCTACACCAAGGGACCCCCGGCCCGCAAATGTCCGTCAAAGGGCCTCTTGCGTCGATTGGGGCCTCTGGGGCAGTGAGGGCCCGCCAGTCGATCCACGACCACGAATTTCGAACAGTCTGCTCCATGGCAGCCTAGGACCCATTTCCAAAGCACGGGCCAGGGCCGGCGATCGTCAGTGAGAGGACCCTTTGCATCGGTCGGGATCCTGAGGCAGTGAAGGACAGCTGCGTGGGTCAGAGGGCGGTGGCTACAGTACGCCTAACAGGGGACCCTATGTCGGCAAGGGCCCTGAGTCGGCCATGGTTCCGTCTTCCGGAAAGAGACAGGAACGCGACCCCGAATGTCAGCGAGCCTCTTAAGTTGACCGGGCCCGCTAATACTGAAAGAAGATAGGCTAAATGACAATGAAAGGGTCCATAATGAGACAGTGAAAGGGCCCTGCGTCAGACATGAGCCTAATAACGAGCGTGGCACCGGCCTCCATCCCATTTCGATTAGGGACCTAATAAACCAAATTAGTCATCGGCCAATTCCTGGACCCCCTGTGTCGGCAAGCGATCCTTTGGCGTCAATGAGGCTCCCCACGTCGATCCGGGATCAGCCGCTCCGGTCTGAGGGCCTTCCCCGTCAGGTAGGAAACCGATGCATGATGGATCCCTCTACGGTCCTTCTGCTCGACCTGATCGACCGGCCGCGAACGAGCTGGAGCGAGAGGGTTGCGCAGCCCCGCTATATCTGGGCTCCGGAGGTCGCGCGCGGGCGTTGGCGGGGCGGTGCAGTCGGATGGTCCTTGACTATCTGGTCGTGTCGATAACAATAGCAAGCAGTAGTGAACGCCTCTGATAGCGGTCATGCAGATTGCAGCAGTCGTGTGGGCGTAGCACCCCAGCTTCTCAGGCCAGTGAGAATCCCCTCGTCGGGTGGGCGTAGCACCCCAGCTTCTCAAGCCAGTGAGAATCCCCTCGTCGTGCGGGCATAGTATCCCCAGCTTCTCAGGCCAGTGAGAATCCCCTCGTCGCTCACAAACCTCATTCTGGGTGCAAAAATCATTTAATTGATCGTGTTTTGAGTGTACGACGGCCTACAAAGAGCGTGTGACGGCCTTATTCTGCAGTCTCCTCTGAAGACTATAGCATAACCCCGTAGTCTTCAGAGACCCGTGTGGTGAACCTGGAGATATGCTCGCATTTTCAGCACGCATGGAGTTTGACCTTATTTTCACTCACTTCTCAGTGTAAGTGCGCCAGTTACTACCTGTTATTAGTTGACCACATACTTGTCGCGTCGTTGCAGAGGTAGATAGACGTCATCGAGTGGGCGCAAAATGGCCCCGATGCCGGCGCGCCCTAAAAAACCAAATCACCACCACCAGAGAAGCCTTAGTCTGGGCAGGGGCCTGAGCCTTGATGACGAATGAGCCTCTCGCTGGAGTTTCGATTTCTTGGTTACATGGATTGCAGACGACCTGAATTCGTTTCGACCGCCAACGACGCTGATTTTCTGAACGAAGCGTGCTGGTCCCGTGGCGGCACCGGCCGGCACGAGCCGGACGAGCCGTACGCACATTCAAAGGCGCTATCAGAGGACCGGCGTGACGTCAGCGTCAGCGTCAGCAATGGAATCGGCGGGCCGTGGATCAGAACTGCCTTAAGCCTGAGGCAGGCAAGGCTCAGCAGGGCCGGCAGGAAAATCAGGCGCGCGCGGGCCACCAGATGTGTCGTCGATCAAGTCTGAGCACAAAACGTCAGCGACCGAGTTTTGAACAGTGTTAAACCCGTAGGGGTTAACAAAAAAAAAAAACAACAAAAACAAAAACAAAGCAAAACAAACAAACCAACTTGTATTTACCACGATTCACGCCCCAGGCGGTAAACTATAAAACCAAGGACATCAGAAGGGTAAAATATGGCTTGAAAACGAGAGCGAGAAAACGTGACGACAAAGTGTGAGCAGTGACGGCGAGGAAAAGGGGAAAACCCCGACACCCAGGCAAAACGACTGCTTGGCCAAAACCGCGATCATTTTATTTTCTGCATCGACGTTCAATAATGAAAATCCAACGCACACGTACGCTTGCCACCAAATACAACCTGATCGTTGATCTAAGTTTATATCGCTCGGATGTTGATAGCAGTCACCCCGGACGCCGCCGGTACAATTTATGATAAACACAATTACCCGATGTTTGCCCTCCCCTGGCGTTGCTCGTCTCGTATCCAGCTTCAACTTGTTCCGACCGAGATACGCCGAGATAATTTCATGCTGACCAATTTTGAAAGCAGTCCAAACAAATGAAAAAGGACTTGTAAGGCTTCTATAAGTTTTCTACCCTTTTCTATCCCAATAATGGCATCAATGAATTATTTCGCCGTTGAATCCTGTTTCCATGTTGAAAGACAAACTACCCAAATGTACTGTCTCTGCAGCCGTTTATAAATATTGGTGTGCCTCGCGGGGAGCTTCGTACGTGGGCCAACCCAGCGCAGCCTGTACTGCAAAGCAGTGAGTGTAGACATTTTTTGGGGTCTGACCATCCAGGAAACATCCTCTCCAACACAGACACTCGGCCCATCCGGGATTATTCATCTGTTCGTGGCACTCACTTAAGCACTGCCAATTTTCCCGTCTTAGAGCAACGCAGCAATTATCTAGATCTCAAGGTTTTAGGACCACTCCATATACACCAAAAGAAGTCTCCGCTAAATATCATGTGCTTTGCATATCCCATGCAAATAAATTAGGACTTTCATATTTTTCTCCAGTATGGCGACCAGGAGATCTTTCGTTGCGCGACTCTGCACTATTTCAAGCTGCCCTGTTTGCATACGCATCTAATTGTGCCAACGTTTTATCATGGTCCTGATGTATGTGCATAAATGCCTGAATACCACATATCTTGCCTGGCACAAGCACTATAGGTACCTATGCAATGTCTGCCTGATTCGAGACCCCTAAACGGCAGGGCAGATGACAGACACCTTTAGAAAATTGGAGTAGGCTTCATCCAAGTTCTACGCTGGTTACAACAAGGATGTCTGCTTGCACGCAACGGAGGCTACAGGTTAGCACATATCGGCGCCCACATCACCCCTTGCGTCGTTTTTTGACCAATTAAATCTGGCCAGATCGCATCGAACTGGAAAAGCCGCACTTGGAGACTCAGCCGCGATTCCTTTTTTGAGACTAAGTCCGGAAGAACAAAGCAGACGCACAATTGTACAGAAAATCAAGCCTTTCTCCACTAACCACAACGCAAGTTATTTGACCAAGATGACGGCTACCACCTGTCCGTCATGTCACCTGTCTGTCTGTCTCGAGCTCCACCTTTGTCGCTCGTCTCCCCCCCCCCCCCCCCAGTTCAGATGCGGCACTGAGCTCCACTGGTCAGCTCAGTTTTTGAAATTAAAGTGACGCAGCGCGCGACGCCACGCCCGGAACGCCAGCATCAACACTGACATGGTATTGGAAGCCGACGTCAGCACTATGATATCGGAACGCCAGCGTCAGCACTGATGACGTCATATCAGCGCTCAGGGCTACAGCGCAAACGGGTTTCGAGACCGGGTCTCCCCGTGGGGGCCCGGTTTAAGGCGCCAACCACTCGATCATTGTCCCCACGGCTGACGCACTCTGCGGGTACTCTGCTGATGGGACAGCCCCGCTGTGGCGTCGAGTAATGTGTTATCGTAGTGTATCCGGATGAAGCTGAACGCGTCAGAGTCTTAGACGAAAGCGGTAACTTGATGTCCGATTTTGATCGCATTTTCCAAATCGCAGCAATGTCTGCTGCGATACATTGTGCGTACTTAACGCTAGAGCCCAAATTATTACCATTTCGACAAAACCGAAATCAAACGCCGCGAGAAGGCCTTGAAACCGATAGAAGCCGCGTCAACTTGCAAATGGAATGCTCTTCTCCTTGTGATGCGAAGTACGCAAAGTGTGTTCACGAGATGAAAATGAAACACCACAAACATATTCGTAAAATACATTTCACCATCAATGATCCACCGCCCACCACCAGAACTGCCACGCCCATGAATCGATACACTTCCGAGCAGTGGCACCATAAAGCTTTTTCAGACGACGACTGTAGCAGCACCCACAGAAACACAGCGGCTTACACGATAAGCTCAAACACATTCTCCCAGGAGCCTATAGCACGTCGAGAAAGCACCAACACTGATACTCAGAATGGAATGACAAAGAAGAGCGAGTTCCATCGCAGTACCTTCCTATCTCCCAAATCCTTGCCATTAACATACGATGAGAGTTTATCTGACTATGATGAAACCGCTGCCTGCTAGCAAGCATTCAACTGACCATCCACGGAAAAATATAACAATATTTAACAGCTGTCATAAAACAAAGAAATAAGTGCAACGAGCACCGCCGGAGATCAATCACAACAGGAAGGAACCGGATACAACTCTTCAACTATCACGACTAGCGGCCACTTAAACAGTCCTCATATAAAGCAGAGGCGTTCAGCCCCGGGCGACATCCATCGGCGACCAGACCACACCCGGTCCAGCGCACCAGCAGCAGTCGGTAGGGCTACACAGAGAGCCGGTCGGCCACGGACCCTTCTTCCCCCTCCCCTTCAGCCGTGCGCTTCGACTCAGCCTGGCAGCATGGGGAGACCCGACCGGGCAGCACCGGGAGACCGGGTGACATCGGGAGACCCCACCTGGCGGCATCGGGAGACCGGGTGGCATCGGGAGACCCGACCGAGCGGCATCGGGGAGACCGGGCGGCATCGGGAGACCGGGCAACATCGGCAGACCCGACCGGACAGCATCGGCAGACCGGGCGGCATCGGGAGACCGGACAGCATCGGCAGACCGGGTGGCATCGGGAGACCCGACCGGGCCGGGCCGCGCGGCAGACCGGGCCGGGCAGCATCGGCAGACCGGGCCGGGCCGCGGCGGCAGACCGGGCCGGGCCGCGGCGGCGGCAGAGCCCGCGTCTCTACATCCGCTGGATCTCGAACAGCTTCACCTCCGTGTCGAACCAGATGGGCGGCTCGACGTTCCTGTACAGAGCGCGGACAGACGAACGTCAGTGAGAGTGCTCGCGCCATGGAGCGCGTTCAGGCTAGGCTGACGGCGCGCGGCACCGGGCGGGGCGGACGCGCCTTCTTAGCGCGGCCGTCAGCGACCCCCCCCCCCCCCCTCCCACTGCCACCCCTCACACGTCAAACGGCTCGGCTCGTGCCGACGCGGCTCCAAAAGCGCCGAATGCCTGCCGGCAATGCAGCGGTCGCAGCCCGTCCCTGATTTCTGTTCGCGCGGGTGTCAAGAGCTCGCGCGCTGGCTCCGAACACGCGCCCCGTCACGGTCATCGCACACACCCACATGCACGGCGAAATGGGTCATCCCGTACGACTCACGCCTCACAGCTCCTGATCCGCAACAAGAAACAACGCCTACCGCCGACGTGCTGCGGCAGCATACACCTCATTCAACACAAGGACCGGTGTGCGACGCGCCGCCTCCGCGCACCGCAGCGCGCCGCGCCGCCGCGATAACCCGACGGCCGCGGCGGCCGGCCGGCGGCTCACCTGAGGTAGATCACGCCCCACATGTACGTGCGGAACCAGAGCGTCGTGCCCGAGTTGGCCTGGTACTTCCTGATGAGGATCGGGTGCGGCACGGGCAGCAGGCCCACCAGCGTGCCGTGCTGCAGGAACTTCAGGATCTCGCTCTCGTCGGTCAGGCCCCTGGCGCGGGTCGGCCCGTCAGGCTCACCCGCCGGCGGGTCGCGGGCACGCGCCGGGCGGCCGCGGTGCGGGGTCGCCGCGGCAGCGACGGCGGAGACGGCGCATGACGCCGCGGCGCAGGCAGCCGGCTCCTCGCCGCAGCGGACGCGACATCGGGGTCCTCAACACGCGCGAGGGTGGACGCTGGGTACTCCCGCTTCTACACAGATCGGGACGACGGGCAGGGAAATTATCTCTCCCCCCCTCCTCGCAGTTAACTGTTGTTCCTGTTGCTCCCGACCTTGTATGCGGTTTCCGGTCCAATATTACATTCAACGTAACATTTAAATATAATATAAGTCTTGAATAACATAAACACATAATTGAATATGATATAACATCACAGCTGAGTAGCATATAACATAATATCGGAGCATTCTACTGTTTAACATGTATCTCAATATTTTTCGATATAATAATATAAAATATTGTGTGTCGTATAGTCTTAAATATGATGCCATCCATATTACGCATATTACTTCCGGCCCCCGACCACACTCCAACTGCTTCGGTCAGCGAAACCATGGGCCACGCCCCCGTTTCTATGAGCGAGACCAAACCCGCGCAGCCCGCCTGTTTAACGGAACGGTCGGGCGTCCGTGCGATAACACATGGGCAGGGGCCGCATCAGCCACCGGACCATCCCCCCCCCCCCGTCCTCGCGGCGCCGCCTGCTGTGAATCATGCTTACTCACAACGTGAACGGGGGTCGCGACAGGTCCCCCCGCCCTCGCAGCGCCGCCTGCTGGGAAGCATGCTTACTCACAACGTGAGCAGGGGTCGCGACAGGTCCCCACGCCCTCGCAGCGCCGCCTGCTGGGAGGCATGCTTACTCACAACGTGAGCAGGGGTCGCGACAGGTCCCCACGCCCTCGCAGCGCCGCCTGCTGGGAGGCATGCTTACTCACAACGTGAGCAGGGGTCGCGACAGGTCCCCACGCCCTCGCGGCGCCGCCTGCTGGGAGGCATGCTTACTCACAACGTGAGCAGGGGTCGCGACAGGTCCCCACGCCCTCGCGGCGCCGCCTGCTGGGAAGCATGCTTACTTGTCGATGCAGATCTTCTCCACCTGAGGCACCAGCACCTGCAGCAGGCGCATGATGGTCTGCAGCGGCAGCTTGTTCTTCCACGAGTTCACCCACTGGCCGGAGGGTGTCCAGCGCTCGGCCGGCGGTCGAGCCGCCGCACCGGCCGCCGTCGTCGCGGACGACCGCTGACTAAGCGGGGAGCCCGGCTGTGGGCGGAGACCGGGGCGTCAGAGGGGTGTCGGAGGAGGTGTCAGACGTATCAGGGGTGTCAGAGGAAGTGTCAGAGGTGTCAGGTGTGTCAGAGGGGGTGTCAGCGCAGGCTTCTGACGGTCTCTGTCTGCGTGGGGAGCCCGGCTATGGACGGAAATAGAGGTCTCGGGGGGGGGGGGGGAGTCAGAGGTCATAGGTGTCAGCGGTCAGAGGTACCAGGAGGTCAGAGGTGTCCGAGGGTCAGAGATTTCAGAGGGTCAGGGTGTCAGGGGGTCAAAGATGCCAGGGGGGTCACAGGTGTCAGGGGGTCACAGGTGTCAGGTCAGAAGTGTGGGGATCAGATAAGTCAGAGGGCCAGAGATGTCAGAGGGTCAGACGTGTCAGAGGGTCAGATGTGTCAGGGGCCAGGGGTGCCAGGGGGTCACAGGTGTCAGGGGTCAGAATGTCAGGTCAGAAGTATCAGGGATTACAGGTGTCCGAGGTGTCCGAGGGTCAGAGGTACCAGGGGGGTCACAGGCGCCAGGGGGGTCAAGGGGGGGGGTCAGAGAGGATGTCAGAGAGGTGTCAGGACAGGTTACGGACACGCGCTGTCCACGTGGAAAGCCCGGCCGTGGGCGGAGACAGCGGAAATTATCGCGGACTGCCCCGCCCCGCCGCTGGCCCGAGGGACCCGTCAGTTCCGGCGAGCAGGGTCGACGCGGGTGACCTTTCAACCGGAACCTTGCATCTAAACCAAGCGTTTTTTGGATGGATCCCAGCTCACCTGCCAAGCTGAACAGCCCTTTATTTCTCCAAACTTTCCCGCAGGTTGTCAGCCGCCACAGTCGTGCAGCGTGTCTCGGGCCATCGTACGTGCACAAAGACTCGGAGACGGTAGAACCCCCCCCCCCCCCCCCCCTACAAGGAGACCCGAGTCAGGGCGATCGCCTGCCAGTTGAACCATCCTGTGATTTAGAGCGAAGCCCGCGTGCCTTGAACAGCACTGACGCAGCCGCTTGTCCACAGCACGACTGTAGCATTCCCCAGCGATTCCCGGTCTGGCTCGCGTAGCACGTCTCACTTGAGCCTAATGTGCGTGATACGCGTGTGATGGGTATACTCACTCCACCCGACGGCTTTACAGCGAATGGCATAACCGACGTATGCGTGCACAGACCACAGGGCGGCACGCGGCAACCCTCCAACACACGTGATGCGAAACAGCAGCATTCATTGAGACATATGTCAGCCTTGGACTGGGTTCGCTGTCTGCGGTATGCTTTGACCAGGCTCAGGTTCAGCGTTGTCCGCGGCCCCTGACCGGGCCCTTCGAACACGTCACCGGGGCTCATGCGTATCCGGCTCTGTCCGGCTCTATCCGGTGTCATTGGCCACCTAGGTGAGCTACATTGGAGCAGCCGGGCGGGCAGCGTTTAACACCAGCGCTGATTGTATGAAGGCGGAAAAAACGCATGGCGAATGCGATATGAATTATAAACAGAGCGCATCACAACCGGTAGCAGTTAAGGTGAGCGCTACATTTAGCGAACCGCTTTCCCTCAGGGCATCCCTGACCCGACATTATGTCGTCCGTTGGAAGAGGTCATTTTGGTGACTATCTGAGTCAGTTCTGCTCACGCCAAGGCCATGTCTGGTGACGGGGATCTGTTGCCGGACACGAAAGGGCGCCACGCCGTCTGCGACCACCGTATCAGTCCCAGGCTGAATGCTATCAGCTCTGGTACATAACGGCTCTGCTCAACCCGGAGCTCGGGCCGCACGCCTGATACGCCGGGGTGCGACCCAACGCTGCCGAATAGCGCCTCCCGGGCCGGCGTTTACCCTCGCAGCCGGACCATCGCGGTCATATCGCGTTCAGGCTACATTTCGTTGGCATTAAACGCCCGCCGATGATCCGGGGAGAGCCCTGCACGGTTTCGCACGCGAATAACGCGGCTACGCACCGAATCCGATTACCTTTGGGCTCTGCATTGCTGCGTTATGCATAGAGCGGGGAAGCACTGAATGCGTGGAGACGCAAAAGCCGCAATGACGAGTAGTTTTGTTCCGTTAAATGCTGTGCCTCATTTTGGACGCACTAACTAGCAGGCTGTACTCACGGCAAGTTCCTTAAGAGAAATGCTTGTCCCAGCTGGATGAGAATGGACGATGACGCCCCACGCCTGGCATGACGTGCATATGGGTTTATGGTATGAACGCCGACGCGCAACGGAAGTGTAATACTGTTTGCAACAAACAATTCAGATTGGTCCCCAAGGTGAGCTGCGATGGAGAAGCCGGGCGGACAGTGTTAAACACTGGCGCTAGTTGTGCTAAGGCGGATAAAACGCGTTGCGAATGCAACATGGATTATAAGCTGAGAGCAACATAACGTATTGCTACATTTAGCAAGCCACTTTCCCTCAGAGCATAATTGAACATTATATATCCCATTAAATTCCTACACCGGTCAGCAGAGGTCATTTCGGTGACAACCTCCGCCAGTTCGGCTCAGGCCAACTCCCTGAACGTCACTCGGGTCACTGAACAGTTGAATGCACAAACATTAGTCGCCAGCTGGTGAAACCACCGACGCTTGAATTCAAAAGACGGTGCATTTATCAGTTTTCCGATGCGTTTTGATTAACTACTCCATCTTTTAGCGAAGAACAGCCCGGTATGGTAGCTACCGTGGTGTTGTGTTGAGTTGGTTGGACAAATGACGCCATTCTATGGATAATTGGTTGCTGAAGTCATTTGTCGTATTTATCCCTCGCACGTAAATCCGTCATATGCTGGTACTGATGAATCTTAGTGCCGGGGGGGGGGGGATGAATCAAGTATCCATCTCTGCATTCTCCCCTTCCGAGATCCAAGATCCACCAACAAAGCACTCGGGCACTTCTAATTCCAGGTTTAAATCGTGCCTGGTGTGCAACAATTCATGCACACTAAACAGCATTGATTTCGCGAGGATCTGGTAAGGTCTGGCTGAAGACTCCCGCAATGCAAACCGGAGAACAGGACCAGAGGGACGTGGCGAGCGCGGGGACGCCGTCGCGTCGCGGCGGTGTCTGGCTGACCTGCGCGGCGGACGAGGCGGTGGACTCGGCCGGCGCGTCGCTGGCGCCCTCCTGCGGCCGCGAGACGGCCGCCGGCTCGCTCAGGGTCAGCTCGGCCAGGTTAGCCGGCTGCGGGTGCGCCGACTCCTTCTCCGTCATCGAGTCGATGCCTGCGCAAAGCAGCGCGCGGACTGGGTCAGTGGCAGTCCCCTGACCAGAAACTACGCACAGGCGGGCGAATACCCCGAAGTTTACGACGGAATTGGTGAACGGGGCAGCTGAAACCCGCCAGTGCCAGCTCGCGCAGTTCGGGCGTCGACATTGCACCCACCTGCTGCATATCGACCTAGGTCAGCCTCCGGAGATTCACGCCATCATTCGCAGCTGACGTCATCATTCACATTGACGTGTCAGTCAAGACGTGTCAGTCAAGTAGAGGCCGACGTACTCATCGCAATCCCAGGGAAACGAATCCGCACCACACCAACCCCGTCAACGTCCCGTCCACGCATCCCACGAAGACGTGCTCATCGCAATCCCAGCTTAACAGATCCGCATCGCACCAACCCCGTCAACGTCCCGTCCACGCATCCCGCGACATACGCCTTCACTAGCTCTGCGTCAAAATCCCCTCCATCGCAGACCGCGTGAACTTCGAGTTCTCCAGCGCGTCCACAGATGGCTCTGCGCGCACTCACGTGGCGTGGCCGCCAGCGTGGCTTTGAGCAGCGTCGGGTCTGGCAGCAGCCCGTCTGCGGGCGGCGCGCGCGAGCCGTCCAGCGACGCCTGCCGCGACGGCTCGCTCTTGGACCTGCACGGAGAGCGGCAGAGGAGCAGGGTGAGGGCGAGAGGACGGACGGCCAGCGCCGGCCTCATCCACAGACGCGAACAGCCCAGTCTCAGCACCGACTCATGACCTGCTCTCCCCGCCAAACGCGCGCCTGATCCACCCCTGCTGACGCGACGATCGGTCGCGAACACTGATGACGTCCCGCTGTGGACACACCGACTCAGTCAACACACGCCTGCCAGGCAGACGTACCTGTAAGAGCACACCTTAAACACACCGGGCGGTGACCGTCCAGGCCAGGCATGCGATGCCGCGAGACCGGGCCGGTATCTCAACGTCCGCGCCGACAGACCGCGACACGCGGCAATGAGCGGCACCCTGAAGCGCACACGCGGCGCACAGCCTGCCACGCGGGGCAACATCGCGCCCAGCCCTCCGAGCCCACCGCCAGCGGGCCTGCACTGCGACTCTGCCAGCGCCGGGGCTCGCAGGGTTGGCTCTCGTGACGTCACAGCAAGCCTCAGCGGCCAACCCGCCCTCACTCGTTCTCTCGCTCCCCCTCCCCCCCCCCCCAATCCACACGCGTGCGTGCTCCAGCCGACCAGCCCACGGCTCGCTCGTGCAGCGGCGTCCAATCCCTACGGCAGACCCCGACCGTGGAAGGGGGGGGGGGGGGGGGTACAGGTGCATCGGCGTCGAGGCCATTCCGCAAAGCAGCGGCCGGTCTGTCGCCGACTATGCTCCGCAGGAAGGCCGGCACATCAGCGCATGAAACACGGGGCTGCGGTTCAAACATCCGTCTTCGCTCCGCCGCGCGAAGCAGACCGGGGTCGGCAACGCGGCCGGCAGAGGCGACCGCGACACGTACCGCTTGCTCAGGGACTTGTCGATGGCGCCGTGGTCGGTCGGCAGGTTGGCCAGCGCGTGGAACACCTGCCGCTTCCTGATGATGGTGTACACCAGGTTGGAGTTACCTGCCGGGGAACGAACCACGTCATTCGCAGGAACGCGGAGACCGAAGAGCGACGCGCACGGGCGGGTTCCGGGGAGCACCTGCCGCGCCGCGGTCGGCGGTGAGCACACGTGACCGTCTGCGCAGCACGTGAGCCGCGCCGCCCAGCGCTGCAGCGGCGCGGCTCCTCTGCCGGCCCGGCGCTGTAGCGCCGCCCGGGGAGCAGCCAGGTCAGAGTGCAGTCAGACCAGGCGACCTTGCGGGGCAGCGACGGCACCCGGACCGGGCGCCGCCCCGTCACCGCCCCGGCCTCGACGCTTGGATTCGGTGCGTGAGATACACCTCACGTCATTACGCCTCCCTTGCCATCCCCCACCCGGTGCAGGACGACGGTAGTATTACCACGTCCGCGCCAGCAGACTGCGACACGCGTCAATGAACGGCGCACTGAAGCGCACACGCGGCGCACAGCCTGCCACGCGGGGCAACGCGACAGGCTGTGCGCCGCGCCGTCAGATGCCGTAGCGACACCGACGCCGCTTGTGTCGCCACGGCGGCTGGGAAACGGTCGGACCCCGACCACGCACGGCCCACCAATCATGGCCACCCAGGGGTGATGACCAACGCGCTGGCCCGACCCGAGCACGGGGGTCGGGTCAGCACTGAGATGACGCACACGCGACCGCACCGGTTCTTGGATGGCGCATGCCTGCGGGCATTTGTACGCATCGCGACTCCATGCAAATCACATGCTATGCGGGGTTGATCGAAGCAACAAGCAACGCTCGAGGCGCCGGGTCGGGGAGCCGAAGGACCAACGCACGAAAAGCGCGAGAGAGTGAACTCACCGTCGAATTGGTACTGGATGATGTTGTTGAAGATCTCCAGCAGGAAGAAGACCAGGTGGTGGTTGTTGGGCGCCGAGAACAGGAACCAGGGCGTGGTGAAGGCCTCCAGCAGGTGCAGCAGCTTGGTGGCCGACACCATGGACAGCGTCTTCAAGTACGGCGATACTGCGGTGACGGACTCTGACGTCAGCTCCGGGGGCGGGCGGAGTGGCGCGCCGTGACCGACGCCGGGGTCGAAAATCATCGCCAGGGATAGCGGCGCAAACCGAGAGCGTCAGAATCGCACGGAGAAGCTCACAGCGTCGAGGGTCTCGGCTGTTACAGCCTTGAGCGGCTGCGGCTACCTAGTTCGGCGCTCTCACGGGACCCAGCGGCGCTTCAGTGACGGCCACACAGCGACACCTGCGTCACAAGCGACGCCAGACTGGCCCTGCTCGCGGACGGAACCACCTCAGGCGCAACCCCAGCTCGGTGGCCACCCCAGTCCGGCGGCCACCAAGCTGCGACGAGCGGTGACCCGGGCGGCGCGGCGAGGCGCGGCACCACCTCCAGCCGTGATGTCCCAAACCAGACAGCCCGTCCGGTGCGAAAACACGGGGAGACCGTCCCGGGATGCATGCGACTAACGGCTGCGGACGTCTTACGCGTCAGATTACCAACACTACAACACTGTGTTGTTGTTGATTGGAGTTTTAGGGCGCGCCGACTACTGCGGTCGTTTTGCGCCCATACGGCATTGTGCGTGAATCCCACTAACGCTTCGTGTGCGCACGAAATGTCCCCGCCTCTCACAAGTGCGTGAATTCACGAGGAAGTGGGGCGCGTCACGTACCGTTTACCAGGATGGTGAGCAGGCAGTCAAACAGCGGCTGCAGCCTCTGGTGGCCGGTGGTGATGATCTTGTGGAACACGATGATCAACAGGTCGCCATGGGTGCCTGCCACGCCAGGACGCTCAGACACGCACGGAATGACAACAGAGGCAGGTAGGTCTTGGCCGTCGCAGAGGTACACATATACTTCACACAGCATGACAACTTTCGCTCAGTTATGAGTGGTATCGCGTGCATTCATAAGCCCTGCTTACAAGACAGGGCAAATGCAGGTTCAAGTGAATGCGACACCACCAGCAAACATGTCATGCAACTCTTTTTTACAATGCCGACCACGCGAGTGGAACCTGTTGTAACATCCCAACTCCCAGACCCGCAAGTGGATCATATCTTTCCTAAACCGCGTTAAAACCATTGTTTCTGCATTCGTTAACGATTGCTTCCGTGCCGTGCCATGCTGCTGACAACACTAAATAAGATTCTGCAAGAACTTGAACTGCACATTACGTGTTACTAGGCCTCACGCCAAATGCTATTGAATTCATTTCCGTCGGAAAGCAAGCTTTGTCTGAGTTAACCGCCACAACTTCGCAGAAAAATGCCACAAAGCCGTGAAATTGGGGACACCCAACGAAAATTACCTTTAAGAAACGCCTGGAGCAGACTGCACGGCAGCACCCTCCCGCGAAACACCGCCCATGAGTGGCTCACCACCAGCAACCCCCCCCCCCCCCCCACACACGCAGCCGGCGGCGTCTACCCTACGCCAACCGCTCGCGACGAGCAGAGCCTTCTCACGGCGGGCCTCACACCTGCCGCGTCCTCCCCCCCCCCCCCCCGAGACAGAAAGCCGCTCCTCTCGCCCGCGCGCGGCGTCCGCGCCGCGCCGTCCGCCGCAGCGAGGCCGCCACCTCGCCGCGCCGCGCCGCTCGCACTGCGCCGCGCCGCCCGCCGCCCGCCGCCGCCAACTCACCGGAGAAGACCGGCACGTCCATGGCGACGGCGGCCGTGTACGGCTTGTTGAGCCTGACGCCGAAGTTGCGCTCGCCGCTGAGCAGCAGCAGGATGAAGACGCCGATGTGCATGAGGCCGACGCGCGCCGGGTCGGCGCGGCACTCGTTCAGATGGTACAGGATCGGCACCGTCACCTGCAGCACCTCGCTCGACTTCAGCACGAAGAACAGCAGCTTCTGCGGGCGAGGGAGGGCCGGCGGTCAGGGGGCGATTGGTGCCGCGCGAGGGGTGGGGGCGGGGGGAGGCTATGGGGGATGACGATGACGACGACGATGACGATGATGACGTTGAGATGAGGCTGGGAAGGAGCCACGTTCTGGACACGAGTCAAGAGGGCCACACTGACGACGACGATAACTGGGGGGTTTGGGGCGCGCCGACCATGATGGTCACTTCGTGCCCGGACTTAGGACAAGGCGTCTGTCTCCCACTCACTGTGCAACAAGAACGGTGTACTCATCACTGTAACAACGGAACACAGTTAAGGCGAAAGACATCTCCTCTTTTGACGGGCTAGGAAAATACGCCCGCACCAATGCAGAATGCTCAGCTCTCCGTTATGCAATCACCGTTTCCAGCATCAGACATAAACATATCCGTAGATACCAGTGTTCCAATTCTGCCAAGAGAAAGCATCACAGTTTCCCCACGATGAGTCACGTGATCGTCCCCCATCAGACACTCAACCATTCGTTAACATGTGCTATTAAAAGTAAACATGAATACCCACTTTTGATGGGCAACTGGCTGCGATGTGGGCGTGGGGCATCCGATAGTCGGGCAGTCGGGCCTGTTACCGGCGCCGTTATGTGCACTGGGCAGGCACGCCTCCAAACGTAGTGCAGGGCTCACGTCTCCCACGCGCAATCGTAGTGCGAACTCACCTTCCCCAAGTGCGAACGTAGTGTGAGCTCGCTGTTACCATAGTGGCAATGATTCTACGATTGTTTCGACTTTTGCATTTGAACAAGCGTCAAAGGTTACACATTTTCCTGAAAATGAAGTAGTGGCCTGTGTCATCGTAGGGCAGTGATCTGCTCTGACCTTTAAGAAGTTCATGAGAGGTATTTGTTGCAGGCCCTGATATTAATAAATTCGAAAAGAGCACCAGAAAATACCCCGTACAACAAGCTCTCGAGTAAAAAGGCAAGCTAATTTTGATTTCGGCCTGACCTTCACAACTGACCCTAGGCCATTGGAACTTGTTATTCCATATTCAGTGGTTTCATTGCATTAAAAACACTCCGCTGTCGTATCAAATTGAACGATTTCCCAGATTGCCTTCTTTTGGCCTGTCATAGGTCAGCGACCTTATCACTTACATATAATTTCTTACGCCAAAAAATCCGCTATTCAGTTGCTTACAGCTATGCAGAGGTTGGCGCGGCTACGCCCTGCTCTTCAGAAATTCTTCTGTAAAAACCTTCGGAGGGTCAATTTGGCCCATGGGCGCATGGTAAGGCACGGGGAGGATGAATCCGAGACTGATCAGACATCCATATGCGGTGACAAGCTGTGCATCCTACGCTATTTCTTGCACGTGCTGCTCTATCTACATGATATCATGATCACCGGTAAGATCGGACGCCATCGGACTGTCGATGACGTCACACTGGGCACGCTGATATGGTATGACGTAAAGCGCACATGCAACTGTGGAACTTTTCTGGTACTTCATTTGTTTGCGTAATGGTATTCGCCCAACCATGGCTGCATCATTTAAGGGGCGACATGCATATGTACGGAGGGTCATATAAAGCTTGCAGATATATGCCTGGATCCCCAAGGTGGATCCAGAATCTCACAAAGTTCCATGTTTATGTAATCGTGGGAATGGATCCTGGGTCTTTTTTTGGGGGGGGGGGGGGGCTTCAAGCGCATGCCTGATGGCCTGATCATGTTTCATCATTCGAGGTCTGGCATTGCATTTACAATGTCTAAAATAGTGAAAAGGGCCGTATAATACAACACGTATCACCGATGAAATCATGTAACGTTGCACATTTAAACAAAATGTCACAAAAAAACGTTTCGCTCCAATACCATGTAACTCCTCCCGTGTCTCCAAGCGCCCGGCATAAGATGCCTCTCGGTGCGCCCAGACCCGCTGAAACGTCCGAACATCGCGTGACCACTAACGTATCCGTAAACATACGTGGTGTCATGTTCGTCCCCATAGCTCAGTTGGTTAGAGCGCCTGTCTTCCAGTCCACCCACCTGTAGCGGGTGGGTTCGAGTCGCTATAGGGGCTCGCTGTTTGCCCTTGACAGATATGACCTACGGACAGTGACAGCGGCCACGCTAAAGGTCAGGTGGGGTCAGACGGAAGGACGGACCGTGCCGAACATTGCGGCGCGTTAAGCTTTCGCCACCAAATTCGGTCGTTAACCTGGGATTGTATGGTTGAATGATAAGAGTCGGGGCTTACGCAAAAAGCACTGCTTAGCGTGTGCTCTGATCCCAGAAATCCATCCATTTCAAAGGTTCGGATTAAATATTCAAAAACACGCCCACTGATTATGAAACAAAATGGCCATGTCTCACCTTATACCGACACAATTATGCGGAAAAATGCTTCAAACCCACGCGCGTTTGCTCAACATTGTATTACGACTCAATACAACTGGCTTATGCTGCAGCTTGACTCCGGCTGAGGTACAAAGCCACAACCAACAGCAAACTTCGCACATGTACATACGACACAACAGCAACGTAGTCAGCTGCATTGAAGCATCGGCAATGACTCGGACAACAAAACCAGCGTCAATTTTTATGTAACAATGCCACTTATCAATCCACGCTGACCATCCAAAACATCCTCAATTCCAGTACCGCCGACTTCATGCGCAGCCACGTAGCCTTGGAGGGCTTGCGTTCTCCGCGGGGTCCGGCCTCGGCGTCCTACAGTCTCCCATTCTCCAGCGCGCCCTTTTAGCACAGCGTGGCGCCGCCGGCCCGCGTGTCGGCTACCAGACGCCCCCTCCCCTCCCGTGAGCCCCCACGCCGCTAGAACTGGAGGTCGGGGTGTCGAGGCGTAGCTAGTGGCCGGCCGGTCCGAGACAGCCCGCCGCGCCACGCCCAGCTCGCCGCGACACGCCGGCTCCGCCCATCACCCGCAGCCGTCCTGCACGCCGGCTCCGCCCATCACCCGCAGCCGTCCTGCACGCCGGCTCCGCCCATCACCAGCAGCCGTCCTGCACGCCGGCTCCGCCCATCGCACGCCGGGCTCCGCCCATCACCAGCAGCCGTCCTGCACGCCGGCTCCGCCCATCACCCGCAGCCGTCCTGCACGCCGGCTCCGCCCATCACCAGCAGCCGTCCTGCACGCCGGCTCCGCCCATCACCAGCAGCCGTCCTGCACGTTCTCCTTGTAGTCGAGCTGGTGCGTGTTCAGACCCAGCTGGTCGGCGAACTGCCGCAGCTCCTGCAGCCGCTCGGCCGGCAACTGCGGCGTGCGGCTGATGAAGTGGATGCAGTAGTTGACGCCGAACAGGCCGGCACTGCAGTCGTACTCGATGGCGGCGTCCTCGGCCAGCAGCACCAGGTTGTAGTCGGTCACGGGAGCGAACGGAAAGCGGAACTGCTGCGCGAAGTTGCCCGGCGTGCCGGCGTAGCGCAGGTCGGCGGTGATGTTGGTGAAGGCGCCATCTACCGTCTTGTGTCGGCACGTGTAGGTCACCTCGCCGTCGCCCAGCTGCCGGCGGCGGGACGCGGTCAGCGGGCAGCCAGCCGCGGCGGTGTGAGAACGACAGAGCGCCGCGTGGCGCGAGCTCGCGAGAACGACAGAGCGTCGCGTGACGAGAGCTCGCGAGAACGACAGAGCACCGCGAGCTCGTGAGAACAACGGAGCGCCGCGTGACGCGAGCTCGCGAGAACGACAGAGCGCTGCGTGACGTGAGCTCGTGCACGCTCCTCACCGACGATGAAGCGACTATGCCTACAACTTCACCACACTATATGACCGGTGAAGTTGACTTATTCACGAGGCACGGAAGAGCAGTATTACGGAAAATGAACTACACTACATTCATTTGCTGCTAGACTGCCACTGAAGAGCACCACAAACATCCGTGTCTAAAGGCAGAACATCGTATTTTGGCCAGACGGTCGGAACAGGCAAACCCGCTGAAGCTTACCACCATAGTGAGAAACACCATTCATAAACGTGCCTAGACAACTCTGTCAATATATTAAGACAAAATTCCGGACTAGTTACCTTTAAAATCACACCAATAACTCAAAAACCTAACAAAAACAAAACAAAAAAAGACAAGAAAGAGCCTAACGAAGATTCTTACATCCACACCAGCCACTAAATATAACGCGGACCTGACCATCACCCTGACGCACCTGCGGCTCATCCGAGTGGAAGTTCAGCGCGTCGCACACGCAGTCCTTCTGGAAGGCGGCGCCGCCCGGCGTCTGGATCTTCCCCACCTCGTACCACATGCCCTCGTAGCCGGCGTTCGTGAAGTTGGCGTCCGTCACCGGGTGCATGCACTGGTCGGCCGTCGCCGCCAGCGGCAGCAGCGGCAGCAGCAGCAGCACCAACATCGCGAGGCGGACTCGGTTCGGCGGTGGCGCGAGACGCGGCGGCGGCGGCGGCGGGTGGAAACGCGACGCGCGAGGGACGGCGGTGGAAACGGCGGCGGTGGCGGGCGGCCCTTATACACGAGCGGCGTTACGTAACGGCCGATAGGCGCGCCGCCAGGTGGCCGACTCCCGCCGCGGCCCGTGGGAGCCGCGCCGGTGCTCGGCCACCCCCAGCGCCCCCTGGCCGGTGCGCACGGACGTGCACGACACGACCGGGCCGCCCGCGTACTGCGCGAGGTCGGGGTACCGGAAATGCGTCTGAGCGTCGGGGCTCTCGTGCGTGATGGACGCTACAGCTTGCAATGTTTGTATATGTTATAAGCTCTAAGGAGCTGGCGACAGGGGGAAAACAAGACGGGACTCAAAATACGCTGTTTTCCGCGTGACGACTGTGTGTTTCATCAAAAGCTTTCTGACCACCTCTGTTTCAATCGCAAGTTATCACGGGAGGCAGATCACAGTTGCCATCGATTAACTGACGATACTCTATGCCCACAGAACTTAAAAACCGCATACGTCGACTAGAAACATTGCCAAACCGACTGGCATCACTGAACCATTTTGTTTGCATGTAAAATAACGTTGGATATTTATGTGGTATATTATATGGACCCTCCATTTGTCAACTTACCCTACAGCCTACGTGTACTAAGTTGTAATTGCGCCGAGGCACTAAGCCACAGCCAATAGCAAGCTCGACACACGCATCACTCGCTTAATTGAGGTACTAATGACAGCAATTCCACGAACTGGGGCCATAGCCATAAAACCGAAACGTCGTCAATGACGGCACTTCGCCTGAAATAACACTTAATCGCCATCACACGCAAGCTGCAAAAATACATCTATAAAAGGACGCAATATCCAAAGAATATACCCACCACGCAAACTGTTCCAAACAGTCTGCCATCACGGATGTCGGAGACTCGTGTGAACAGCGTGTCCAGCGACGGTACCATACGCTGTACCCTAACGACCTCGGGTCACGCGGGGCTTGACATCGTTCAGCGGCCCACCGTGGATAACTGACCAGCCAGACCACGTCACAGCAAGGCACTCATCCGTCACTATGACGAATGGAGCGCTTTGAATGCGTGCTTTTCTCGCGAATCTTTGTTTACGTCGACCACGAGCATCGTTCTGCATTTGAATGAGTTTTTAGTGCACAGCACAGGACAGTTAGAAAGCTTTGTGGTTCAGGAGCACATAACCGTTCATACCGAATGAAGCTCAAGAATACCCCTGCATTTGAATGGGTTTTTAAGCGCGCAGTACAGCATAATGAGGAAGCTTTATGGATCGGAATCACACAAGCAGTTAATCGCATGCTGATATTTCTCACAGCTTTCCGAGGAGACAATTGCCGACTGCGCGTCCAAGCCCGGTGGGTTCACGTTCATTTCTTAGATCATTCAACCGATAGCCAACCGATTACGGTCCACAGAGCGTAAGAACAAATACAAACTTGGCATTCTCAAGCGTGAATTCCACATCAGCTCCCAGAACGCTGCGGACAAAAACAGACACTTTTCTCTCCTCGATGGGATTACTTTTAACGTTTACTTGTCCAAAAAGAAATTGTACCGTTCTTATCGAAACGAAAGTGAGACGGTTCTGGTGGACGAGTCACGGCACACGTAGTAGCTGCCACGAAATGTGGCCGAGCCAGATAACAGCATTCGTTTTGCGGGGGACTGCTTTGAACCACCGCTGACTCCCACTGCGCGGCTGCAAGCTATCACACTATACTTAACGTTAACCGCTGACATACCGTGAAGGTCAAAGGAAAAGCCACGTCCTGATACACAGAGCCTAGAAGGGCGCGATTTGCTTGCATACCGCTGACTCATGGCAAGATAACACTACTTGCTCGTAAAATATGCAATATTCGCGAATATACATGAAAAGTTATACGGAAAATGCAATACATGCTTACCTGTTAACTAGATGAGAAGGCTCAGGCACGCCACGTCAGTTCCAGTGGATGTACACGGCATTGGTCCCAGCACCGTGACGTCATTGACATACCAATCGGTCACGCAATGCGTTGGGGACCATCAGCACGCGCGCTGGGACTCCATCGGACAAACGTTGTTAAATAACACAAGGCGACTTCTCGGCTGTGCGAAAAAGGCGCTGGAAAAAGCAAAAGAAAATACGCCACCTCCACCGAAGATCCATTCTTCAAATCCCGTCCCAGCTCGTCCTTTCACAAATATGGCACATCAAATGCACCGTGAGTGAAATAAGTCACGTGGCCGTAGCCCGTTGGTGGCTCATTGTTGTCTTTCTCGGTTTGGTTGGAGTAAGAGCCCTTCGGTCAGCACTGACCATCTCAGGGCTGCGCGGTTAAGAGGAGAGGTCGGCGATGGGCCAAGACTACACTTATCTAGGAGACACCAGTTCCGAATCGGGACGGTAGTGGTGGTCACACGGCACATGGGGCGGTGCCGGAATTCAGCGTGAAGCGATGAGCGAGTATAACACAGTACGGACTGTTCGCCCGGATCTGAATATGGAGCTGGGGTTATAAGCCCGGACAGGAATATAGAGTACCGGTTATCGGCCCGAACACTAATAAAGAGTGCAGATTACTGGCCCCGGTGCGAACAAAGAGTCGGATTTTTGCCCCGGATACGAATATACAGAACGGACTATTGGTTCGGATACGAATATAGGGTACAGATTACTGGTACGGGTACAAATAAAGATTGCGGATCATTGATCCGGATACGAATAAAGAGTACGGATTATTGGTCCGGATACGAATATAGAGTACGGATTATTGGTCTAGATACGAATATAGAGTACGGATTATTGGTCCGGATACGAATATAAGTACGGATTATTGGTCCGGATACGAATATACCGCATGGGTTATTGGCCCGGATACGGATATAGAGTACGAATTATTGGCCCGGATACTAATAACGCGTGTGGATTATTGGCCAGATACGAATATAGAGAACGGATTATTGGCCAGGATAAGAACGTACAGTACGGGCTATTGGCATATGCCGACGGCCGGGAGCAGCACGTGAACACGAGTCATGCGGTCCCACCACCCTAAGACATTCACAACGCCCCGGCCTGCCATCAGCAGTCTCCGAGTCAGCGCCCGCTCCACATCCACCAGCCTCAGTCCCGCACCCTCTCCCAGCCGCCGCCCGACCCAGCTGGCTCGGCGGCGCTGACGGCGGCGCACGCCGGCCGATCGGCGCCGAGCGAGCGGCATCGGTGACTTCTGTCGCAGCACCGCGGGCGGCACGGCCCAGGCCACCGACTGAGACGGCTCACGGCAAGAAACTCCTCCGACGCCCGGTCAGTCGAGGGGAAGTCATCCACCATCGACAGCCGGCAGCGAGGCCCCCCCACCCGACAGAGGCCACACCCCGTCCCTGTCCTAGCTCGGCGCGCTCTGCCGGCCCCGGAGCCGGGCCGGCCCCGGCACCGGCCTCGGCTGGGCCCACGCACCGGCCGGCCGGCGCGCGCGTACCTTGTTGTAGTCGCAGCACTTCCAGAAGAACACGAGCAGCTCCTGGTGGGCGTGCACCTTCTTGGTGGAGTGCGGCAGGTAGGTCTGCGTCAGCGGGTTGTTCAGCAGCCGGGTGAAGCCTATGGAACGCCACGGGACGCAGCTCAGCGGCACCGACGGGGGCCTGCCTGCCTGCTTGTCGTACAGGCGGCACAAGGAGCCGGCAGACGAACGCGGCGAGACAGACAGCACACGGCTGTAGGGAACCAGGAGCGCTTCACCGAGCTGAGAGTAGCGTGAGCATTGAATGGCATGTGTGTGTGTGTGCGTGTGTGTGTGCGTGAGGGGGCGGGGGGAGAAGGGTGCAGCAAGACGCGATGGTAGCGTCTGAGGTGCGAACCGTCTGCCGACTTTCACAAGCCAACCGCCTGAGACCCGGCCACCCCATCGCCTGCAGAAACACCCCAGCGCGGTCGCGACCGAGCCTGAAGCCCGAGCCAGTACAACGAGGCCAGCCACTCGGCGCCGACGAGACACCGGGCAGCACGACAGCGAACGTCTCGGCCACGGCTTCCCCGCGGGAGATATCGATACCCTCCCGCTGCGGCACACCGCAGGGTCTCCGGAGGCGTCAGCGCCCAGGACGACGGCACGAAACCCACCAGAACACTTGGCAACATGACGCGGCGCGCGGCCCAGCCCCCACGCACCCTTCAGGATGAAGTCGAAGTCCTCCTCGCGGTGGATCCTGGACAGGTAGTTGATGAAGAGGTTGTCTGGAGAGCCCTGCAACGCCGTCCGTAGGCACGTGACCCGAGGGCTGAAGCGATTCGAAGGTGTGCAAAGGTGAAAACGACGGGTGGTCACGTGACAAGACATAGACGCACGTGGTGTTTACGCCCACGTTCGGTGTCGCGGACGCTCAAGTGCTCAAACAGCACGTGAAAACGGCGCTGAAGCCAGCTGTCGCCTCTGACGTAGAGCCCAGCTGCGATTCTCCACTAATAGCCCAATATATGGGCCCCATCGAGGTCAAGACATCGCCTACAGAAGGTCACCCCCGCAGAGACGCCATTGGCAGAGCCCCAGCACTAGTCCAAGCCTTCCACACGAGCCGACCCACCGACAGAGCGCCGGCGATCCCCGACCTCCCGCCGGCCCGTGACGTCACGGCCGACGTCACACAGCAGGGGGAGGGGGAGGGGCTGACCTCGTCGTCGGCGCGGCCGGCGGCCGAGTCGTGATCGAGCGTGACGATCAGGATCTGCAGGGCCGTCTCCATCAGCGCCTCGCGCTTGTCGTTAAACAGCAGGTGGTTGTAGGGTAGCCCTGCGACGGCGCCGGGACGTCAGCGTCACTCTCCACGGGAGGCGGATCATGCTCGCGCGCGCGCGCCGCGCACCACCGGCCGACGTGGGATGCACGAATGCTGACCAGAACACTTCTAAACAAAGATACATAGCGTGGTTGCGTCAGCCGTTTGAAGACCCCGGGAAGTAGCGTAATAATAATCATTGTCGCTTTACGTCTCACCGACCGCCGGCCCATTTCAAGACGGGATGGAAGAAGCACAAAGCATGATGATCCAAGTACGCTAAGAATCAGCCAAAGGTAACGAGAGCCAGCATCCAGCACTGTGATCAAATGACGCCGACCAAGCCTGACAACGCTGTCGCTTGGCCCGCCACCTGGACAGCACCGGCGTGAAGCATCGGTAATCTCTGCACGTCACCATCTGCGCACATCCCACCACCCCACAACCACAACCACCCCACCACCCAACGCCGCCCCCCTCTTCCCACAGTCGCGGCCGGAGGTCTCTCCACGCTCGTCGCTCCGGTCCTACCGATCCCGACGGGGTCGTAGGCGCAGACGAGATTCAGCAGCGAGGTGAAGAGCGGCAGCGCGTGTCGGTTCTCCGACGACGTGAAGAAGCGCACCCACCGGTTGGGCCCCCGCCTGGCCGGCGTCTGAAGCACAGCAGCGCGCGCGTCACGTGCGGCTGCGACCGGCTGCGGCCGGCTGCGGGCCGGCGACGGCCGCGGCGGCCGGCGGAGCGGCGGAGGAGCGGCGGCGGAGCGGGGAGGAGCGGTGGCGGAGCGGTGGCGGAGCGGTGGCGGAGCGGCGGAGGAGCGGCGGAGGAGCGGCGGAGGAGCGGCGGCGGAGCGGCGGCGGAGCGGCGGAGGAGCGGCTCGGAGAGCGAATGAGAGGGAGAGAGGGAGCGGCAATCTCTGAGGGAGCAGGTCACTGAGGGAGCGCTGAGGGAGCTCCTGCAGGTCACGGGCGGCGGTGGGGCAGCTCTGCCGCTAACCTGACCTGACCGGCGCCGGCCCGGGTCAGGCCTCACAGGCAGAGGACGAGGAGGCACTCAGACCCGAGAGGTGGCGAGACCCAGCAACGGCCAGCTGGATGGTGCACGTCCGCACGCGCGTCGACACCGATAGATCGCGACCAAGCAACAACGTCAGATGCAAATACTGCGTAGCGCGCTCGATACAAACCGTCACCGCCTGGTTCAGGATCCTCCCGTAGCTTGCAAGAATCCCTGAACACGCACTTCTAGCTTGACTGAAAATTCCTCCCGAATGCAACCTATTCCAAAAATAATGACCGAAACCCGTGACCGCAGGCGCGCGCAACACCCTCCCTCGGTCCACTCCATACCTACCGCCTCAGTCCCCTACCACATCCCGCACCTCCACGGCCACACGGCCGGCGCTCGGTCGTGTCCCGCCGCGGTGCCTGGCCTGAGCCCACCCCTCCGGCCACCCGGCGGCCGGCCCGCTCACCGGTGGGGGGGCAGGTACATGGTCTGCGAGAAGCACGTGAGCACAGCTTGAGATCTCGGTGCGTTTGGCGGTCGTGGCTGGAGTTGTGGGGTGACGGTGCTGGAGAAGCCGACGCCGGCCTCCCAGATGTACTCGCAGCTGTCGATCGAACCTGCACGTCCTCGTGCTGGTCCTGGCGGTCACGGCGGGCGCCTGTCAGCCGCTGGCCGGGTCGTCCCACACGACATACAGACGCAGACAGACACGCACGCACGCGGCACCGGCCGCCAGGGGCCAAGGGTCGAACAAGGGGTCAGAGGTCAGACGGGGTCAGGGGTCAGACGGGGTCAGGCGTGACGCAGCCAGGGGTCAGACGGGGTCAGG